CATTGTACAGCAGTTCTGCATCCTCACTGTAGTTCACACAGTTTCTGCGAGTTCTGTAGCTTCTGAGTAGGCATACGCATTATGCAGGATTTGTGTAGCATGATTGTAGGAGAAACTGCTTGAGGAGTTATGTACCTTGAATGCAGAGAGACACAGTTTGCAGGAGTTCTGCCGCCTGAGTGCAGGAGACAGTTTACTGGAGTTCTGTAGTATAGGAGTAGCCGTACACAGTATGCAGGATTACTGTTGCCTGTGTGTAGGAGATGCAGCTTATAGTATTTCTGTAAGCTAGACGTAGCGAGAGCATTGTACAGCAGTTCTGCATCCTGACTGTAGTTCACACAGTTTCTGCGAGTTCTGTAGCTTCTGAGTAGGCATACGCATTATGCAGCATTTGTGTAGTATGATTGTAGGAGAAACTGCTTGAGGAGTTATGTACCGTGAATGCAGAGAGACACAGTTTGCAGGAGTTCTGTAGACTGAGTGCAGCAGAGAGTTTACAGAAGTTCTGTCGTATAGGATAGCCATACGCAGTATGCGGGATTTTTGTAGACTGAGTGTAGGAGACACTTACTGGATTTCTGTAAGCTTGATGTAAAGAGAAGCAGTTTACAGTAGTTCTGCCACCTGAGTGTAGAAGACAGTGTACGGGAGTTCTGTATCTTGGGAGAAGGTATACACAGTATGCATGATTTCTGTAGCTTGAGTGTAGGAGACGCAGCTTAGTGTCGTTCCTAAACTGGATGTACAGAGAGGCAGTTTTCAGGAGTTCCGCCGCCTGAGTATCGTTCACCCAGTTTATGGGAGTTCTGTAGCCTGGGGGTTGACAAACACAGTAAGGGAGATTTCGGTAGTCTGTGTGCAGTAGATGATGGATACAGGATTTCTGAAACCTGAATGTAGAGAGAGGCAGTTTACAGGAGTTCTGCTGCCTGAGTGTAGGAGACAGTTTACAGGAGTTCTGTAGCTTGAGAGAAGGTATACACAGTAGATGTGATTTCTGTAGCCTGAGTGTAGGAGACGCAGCTTACTGTAGTTCCATAAGCTGGATGTAGAGAGAGCCAGTTTTCAGCAGTTCTGCCACTTCAGGGTAGAAGACACAGTATACTGGAGTTCTGTGGCTAGGGAGAAGGCATACGCAAAATGCGCGATTTCTGTAGACTGAGTGTCAGAGACGCAGCTTACAGGAGTTTGTAAGCTTGGCAAGAAGAGAAGCAGTTTACAGGAGTTCTGCAGCCTGAGTGCAGCAGACAGTTTACGGGAGTTCTGTAGCATAGGAGTTGCCTTACGCAGTATGCAGGATTACTGTTGCCTGTGTGTAGGAGATGCAGCTTATAGTATTTCTGTAAGCTAGACGTAGAGAGCAACATTGTACAGCAGTTCTGCATCCTCATTGTAGTTCACACAGTTTCTGCGAGTTCTGTAGCTTCTGAGTAGGCATACGCATTATGCAGTTTGTGTAGTTGATTGTAGGAGAAATGCTTGAGGAGTTATGTACCGTGAATGCAGAGAGACACAGTTTGCAGGAGTTCTGTAGACTGAGTGCAGCAGAGAGTTTACAGAAGTTCTGTCGTATAGGAATAACCATACGCAGTATGCGGGATTTTTGTAGACTGAGTGTAGGAGACACTTACTGGATTTCTGTAAGCTTGATGTAAAGAGAAGCAGTTTACAGTAGTTCTGCCACCTGAGTGTAGAAGACAGTGTACGGGAGTTCTGTATCTTGGGAGAAGGTATACACAGTATGCATGATTTCTGTAGCTTGAGTGTAGGAGACGCAGCTTAGTGTCGTTCCTAAACTGGATGTACAGAGAGGCAGTTTTCAGGAGTTCCGCCGCCTGAGTATCGTTCACCCAGTTTATGGGAGTTCTGTAGCCTGGGGGTTGACAAACACAGTAAGGGAGATTTCGGTAGTCTGTGTGCAGTAGATGATGGATACAGGATTTCTGAAACCTGAATGTAGAGAGAGGCAGTTTACAGGAGTTCTGCTGCCTGAGTGTAGGAGACAGTTTACGGGAGTTCTGTAGCTTGAGAGAAGCTATACACAGTAGGCGTGATTTCTGTAGCCTGAGTGTAGGAGAGCGCTTACTGTAGTTCCATAAGCTGGATGTAGAGAGAGCCAGTTTTCAGCAGTTCTGCCGCTTCAGGGTAGAAGACACAGTATACCGGAGTTCTGTGGCTAGGGAGAAGCATACGCAAAATGCGATTTCTGTAGACTGAGTGTCAGAGACGCAGCTTACAGGAGTTTGTAAGCTTGGCAAGAAAGAAGCAGTTTACAGGAGTTCTGCAGCCTGAGTGCAGCAGACAGTTTACGGGAGTTCTGTAGCATAGGAGTTGCCTTACGCAGTATGCAGGATTACTGTTGCCTGTGTGTAGGAGATGCAGCTTATAGTATTTCTGTAAGCTAGACATAGAGAGCAGCATTGTACAGCAGTTCTGCATCCTGACTGTAGTTCACACAGTTTCTGCCAGTTCTGTAGCTTCTGAGTAGGCATAGGCACTATGCAGGATTTCTGTAGCGTAATGGTAGGAGAAACAGCCTGCAGGAGTTCTGTACCATGGATGTAGAGCGACGCAGTTTGCAGGAGTTCTGACGGCTGAGGTTAGGAGACACAGATTATAGGAGTTCTATAGCCTGGGATTGGCAAACGCAGCATGCAGTTTGCTGTAGCTAGAGTGTAGGAGGCACAGCCTTGCTGTAGTTCCATAAGCTGGATGTAGAGAGAGCCAGTTTCAGCAGTTCTGCAGCTTCAGTGTCGAAAACCACTTAGTGGAGTTCTGTGGCTAAGGAGAAGGCATACGCAATATGCGGGATTTCTGTAGACTGAGTGTTCAGAGACCGCAGCTTACAGGAGTTCTGTAAGCTTACCAACTCCTGTAAGCTGCGTCTCTGACACTCAGTCTACAGAAATCGCGCATTTTGCGTCTGCCTTCTCCCCAGCCACAGAACTCCAGTGTACTGTGTCTTCTACACTGAATGCAGCCAGAACTGCTGAAAACTGGCTCTCTCTACATCCAGCTTATGGAACTACAGGAAGCTGTACAGCACTCCTGCCTGAGTGCAGGAGACCAGTTTTACGGAGTTCTGTGTCTTGGGAGAGTTATACACAGTAGGTGTGATTTCTTTAGCTTGACTGTAGGAGACGCAGCTTCCTGTAGTTCCATAAACTGGATGTAGAGAGAGGCAGTTTACTGCAGTTCTGCAGCCTCATTGTAGGAGACAGTTTACCGGAGTTCTGTAGCATACGAGTTGCCATACGCAGTATGCAGGATTACTGTTGCCTGTGTGTAGGAGATGCAGCTTATATATTTCTGTAACCTAGACGTAGAGAGCGGCATTGTACAGCAGTTCTGCATCCTCACTGTAGTTCACACAGTTTCTGCGAGTTCTGTAGCTTCTGAGTAGGCATACGCATTATGCAGGATTTGTGTAGCATGATTGTAGGAAAACTGCTTGAGGAGTTATGTACCTTGAATGCAGAGAGACACAGTTTGCAGGAGTTCTGCCGCCTGAGTGCAGGAGACAGTTTACCGGAGTTTGTAGTATAGGAGTAGCCGTACACAGTATGCAGGATTACTGTTGCCTGTGTGTAGGAGATGCAGCTTATAGTATTCTGTAAGCTAGACATAGAGCAGCATTGTACAGCAGTTCTGCATCCTGACTGTAGTTCACACAGTTTCTGCGAGTTCTGTAGCTTCTGAGTAGGCATACGCATTATGCAGCATTTGTGTAGTATGATTGTAGGAGAAACTGCTTGAGGTTATTACCGTGAATGCAGAGAGACACAGTTTGCAGGAGTTCTGTAGACTGAGTGCAGCAGAGAGTTTACAGAAGTTCTGTCGTATAGGAGTAACCATACGCAGTATGGGGATTTTTGTAGACTGAGTGTAGGAGACACTTACTGGATTCCTGCAAGCTTGATGTAAAGAGAAGCAGTTTACAGTAGTTCTGCCGCCTGAGTGTAGAAGACAGTGTACGGGAGTTCTGTATCTTGGGAGAAGGTATAACAGTATGCATGATTTCTGTAGCTTGAGTGTAGGAGACGCAGCTTAGTGTCGTTCCTAAACTGGATGTACAGAGAGGCAGTTTTCAGGAGTTCCGCCGCCTGAGTATCGTTCACCCAGTTTATGGGATTCTGTAGCATGGGGGTTGACAAACACAGTAAGGGAGATTTCGGTAGTCTGTGTGCATAGATGATGGATACAGGATTTCTGAAACCTGAATGTAGAGAGAGGCAGCTTATAGGAGTTCTGCTGCCTGAGTGTAGGAGACAGTTTACGGGAGTTCTGTAGCTTGAGAGAGGTATACACAGTAGATTGTGATTCCTGTAGCTTGAGTGTAGGAACGCAGCTTACTGTAGTTCTAAACTGGATGTACAACGTGGCAGTTTTCAGGAGTTCTGCCGCCTGAGTATCGTTCACACAGTTTATGGGAGTTTTGTAGCATGGGGGTTGACAAACACAGTAAGGGAGATTCGGTAGTCTGTGTGCAGTATGAGGATACAGGATTTCTGAAACCTGAATGTAGAGAGGCAGTTTACAGGAGTTCTGTTGCCTGAGTGTAGGAGACAGTTACGGGAGTTCTTTAGCTTGAGAGAAGGTATACAGTAGGCGTGATTTCTGTAGCCTGAGTGTAGGTGACGCAGCTTACTGTAGTTCCATAAGCTGGATGTAGAGAGAGCCAGTTTTCAGCAGTTCTGCCGCTTCAGGGTAGAAGACACAGTATACCGGAGTTCTGTGGTAGGGAGAAGGCATACGCAAAATGCGCGATTTCGTAGACTGAGTGTCAGAGACGCAGCTTACAGGAGTTTGTAAGCTTGGCAAGAAGAGAAGCAGTTTACAGGAGTTCTGCAGCCTGATGCAGCAGACAGTTTACGGGAGTTCTGTAGCATAGGAGTTGCCTTACGCAGTATGCAGGATTACTGTCGCTGTGTGTAGGAGATGCAGCTTATAGTATTTCTGTAAGCTAGACATAGAGAGCATTGTACACAGCAGTTTCTGCATCCTGACTGTAGTTCACACAGTTTCTGTGAGTTCTGTAGCTTCTGAGTAGGCATAGGCACTATGCAGGATTTCTGTAGCGTGAGTGTAGGAGAAACCTTGCAGGAGTTCTGTACATGGATGTAAGAGACGCAGTTTGCAGGAGTTCTGAAGGCTGAGGTTAGGAGACACAGATTATAGAGTTCTATAGCCTGGGATTTGGCAAACGCAGCATGCAGTTTTGCTGTACTAGAGTGTAGGAGGCACAGCTTCCTGTAGTTTCCATAAGCTGGATGTAGAGAGAGTAAGCTGTAAGCTTACCAACTCCTGTAAGCTGCGTCTCGACAGTCTACAGAAATCGCGCATTTTGCGTATGCCTTCTCCCCAGCCACAGAACTCCAGTGTACTGTGTCTTCTATCACACTGAAGCAGCAGAACTGCTGAGAACTGGCTCTCTCTACATCCGCTTATGGAACTACAGGAAGCTGTACAGCACTCCTGCCTGAGTGCAGGAGACAGTTTACGGGAGTTCTGTGTCTTGGGAGAAGTTATACACAGTAGGTGTGATTTCTTTAGCTTGACTGTAGGAGACGCAGCTTCCTGTAGTTCCATAAACTGGATGTAGAGAGAGGCAGTTTACTGCAGTTCTGCAGCCTCATTGTAGGAGACAGTTTACCGGAGTTCTGTAGCATACGAGTTGCCATACGCAGTATGCAGGATTACTGTTGCCTGTGTGTAGGAGATGCAGCTTATAGTATTTCTGTAAGCTAGACGTAGCGAGCAGCATTGTACAGCAGTTCTGCATCCTGACTGTAGTTCACACAGTTTCTGCGAGTTCTGTAGCTTCTGAGTAGGCATACGCATTATGCAGCATTTGTGTAGTATGATTGTAGGAGAAACTGCTTGAGGAGTTATGTACCGTGAATGCAGAGAGACACAGTTTGCAGGAGTTCTGTAGACTGAGTGCAGCAGAGTTTACAAAAGTTCTGTCGTATAGGAGTAGCCATACGCAGTATGCGGGATTTTTGTAGACTGAGTGTAGGAGACACTTACTGGATTTCTGTAAGCTTGATGTAAAGAGAAGCAGTTTACAGTAGTTCTGCCGCCTGAGTGTAGAAGACAGTGTACGGGAGTTCTGTATCTGGGAGAAGGTATACACAGTATGCATGATTTCTGTAGCTTGAGTGTAGGAGACGCAGCTTACTGTCGTTCCTAAACTGGATGTACAGAGAGGCAGTTTTCAGGAGTTCCGCCGCCTGAGTATCGTTCACCCAGTTTATGGGAGTTCTGTAGCATGGGGGTTGACAAACACAGTAAGGGAGATTTCGGTAGTCTGTGTGCAGTAGATGATGGATACAGGATTTCTGAAACCTGAATGTAGAGAGAGGCAGTTTACAGGAGTTCTGTTGCCTGAGTGTAGGAGACAGTTTACGGGAGTTCTTTAGCTTGAGAGAAGGTATACACAGTAGGCGTGATTTCTGTAGCCTGAGTGTAGGTGACGCAGCTTTACTGTAGTTCCATAAGCTGGATGTAGAGAGAGCCAGTTTTCAGCAGTTCTGCCGCTTCAGGGTAGAAGACACAGTATACCGGAGTTCTGTGGCTAGGGAGAAGGCATACGCAAAATGCGCGATTTCTGTAGACTGAGTGTCAGAGACGCAGCTTACAGGAGTTTGTAAGCTTGGCAAGAAGAGAAGCAGTTTACAGGAGTTCTGCAGCCTGAGTGCAGCAGACAGTTTACGGGAGTTCTGTAGCATAGGAGTTGCCTTACGCAGTATGCAGGATTACTGTCGCCTGTGTGTAGGAGATGCAGCTTATAGTATTTCTGTAAGCTAGACATAGAGAGCGGCATTGTACAGCAGTTCTGCATCCTGACTGTAGTTCACACAGTTTCTGTGAGTTCTGTAGCTTCTGAGTAGGCATAGGCACTATGCAGGATTTCTGTAGCGTGAGTGTAGGAGAAACAGCTTGCAGGAGTTCTGTACCATGGATGTAGAGAGGACGCAGTTTGCAGGAGTTCTGAAGGCTGAGGTTAGGAGACACAGATTATAGGAGTTCTATAGCCTGGGATTTGGCAAACGCAGCATGCAGTTTTGCTGTAGCTAGAGTGTAGGAGGCACAGCTTCCTGTAGTTCCATAAGCTGGATGTAGAGAGAGTAAGCTGTAAGCTTACCAACTCCTGTAAGCTGCGTCTCTGACACTCAGTCTACAGAAATCGCGCATTTTGCGTATGCCTTCTCCCCAGCCACAGAACTCCAGTGTACTGTGTCTTCTACACTGAAGCAGCAGAACTGCTGAGAACTGGCTCTCTACATCCAGCTTATGGAACTACAGGAAGCTGTACAGCACTCCTGCCTGAGTGCAGGAGACAGTTTACGGGAGTTCTGTGTCTTGGGAGAAGTATACACAGTAGGTGTGATTTCTTTAGCTTGACTGTAGGAGACGCAGCTTCCTGTAGTTCCATAAACTGGATGTAGAGAGAGGCAGTTTACTGCAGTTCTGCAGCCTCATTGTAGGAGACAGTTTTACCGGAGTTCTGTAGCATACGAGTTGCCATACGCAGTATGCAGGATTACTGTTGCCTGTGTGTAGGAGATGCAGCTTATAGTATTTCTGTAAACTAGACGTAGAGAGCGGCATTGTACAGCAGTTCTGCATCCTCACTGTAGTTCACACAGTTTCTGCGAGTTCTGTAGCTTCTGAGTAGGCATACGCATTATGCAGGATTTGTGTAGCATGATTGTAGGAGAAACTGCTTGAGGAGTTATGTACCTTGAATGCAGAGAGACACAGTTTGCAGGAGTTCTGCCGCCTGAGTGCAGGAGACAGTTTACTGGAGTTCTGTAGTATAGGAGTAGCCGTACACAGTATGCAGGATTACTGTTGCCTGTGTGTAGGAGATGCAGCTTATAGTATTTCTGTAAGCTAGACGTAGCGAGCAGCATTGTACAGCAGTTCTGCATCCTGACTGTAGTTCACACAGTTTTCTGCGAGTTCTGTAGCTTCTGAGTAGGCATACGCATTATGCAGCATTTGTGTAGTATGATTGTAGGAGAAACTGCTTGAGGAGTTATGTACCGTGAATGCAGAGAGACACAGTTTGCAGGAGTTCTGTAGACTGAGTGCAGCAGAGTTTACAAAAGTTCTGTCGTATAGGAGTAGCCATACGCAGTATGCGGGATTTTTGTAGACTGAGTGTAGGAGACACTTACTGGATTTCTGTAAGCTTGATGTAAAGAGAAGCAGTTTACAGTAGTTCTGCCGCCTGAGTGTAGAAGACAGTGTACGGGAGTTCTGTATCTTGGGAGAAGGTATACACAGTATGCATGATTCTGTAGCTTGAGTGTAGGAGACGCAGCTTACTGTCGTTCCTAAACTGGATGTACAGAGAGGCAGTTTTCAGGAGTTCCGCCGCCTGAGTATCGTTCACCCAGTTTATGGGAGTTCTGTAGCATGGGGGTTGACAAACACAGTAAGGGAGATTTCGGTAGTCTGTGTGCAGTAGATGATGGATACAGGATTTCTGAAACCTGAATGTAGAGAGAGGCAGCTTATAGGAGTTCTGCTGCCTGAGTGTAGGAGACAGTTTACGGGAGTTCTGTAGCTTGAGAGAAGGTATACACAGTAGATTGTGATTCCTGTAGCTTGAGTGTAGGAGACGCAGCTTACTGTAGTTCCTAAACTGGATGTACAACGTGGCAGTTTTCAGGAGTTCTGCCGCCTGAGTATCGTTCACACAGTTTATGGGAGTTTTGTAGCATGGGGGTTGACAAACACAGTAAGGGAGATTTCGGTAGTCTGTGTGCAGTAGATGATGGATACAGGATTTCTGAAACTTGAATGTAGAGAGAGGCAGTTTACAGGAGTTCTGTTGCCTGAGTGTAGGAGACAGTTTACGGGAGTTCTTTAGCTTGAGAGAAGGTATACACAGTAGGCGTGATTTCTGTAGCCTGAGTGTAGGTGACGCAGCTTTACTGTAGTTCCATAAGCTGGATGTAGAGAGAGCCAGTTTTCAGCAGTTCTGCCGCTTCAGGGTAGAAGACACAGTATACCGGAGTTCTGTGGCTAGGGAGAAGGCATACGCAAAATGCGCGATTTCTGTAGACTGAGTGTCAGAGACGCAGCTTACAGGAGTTTGTAAGCTTGGCAAGAAGAGAAGCAGTTTACAGGAGTTCTGCAGCCTGAGTGCAGCAGACAGTTTACGGGAGTTCTGTAGCATAGGAGTTGCCTTACGCAGTATGCAGGATTACTGTCGCCTGTGTGTAGGAGATGCAGCTTATAGTATTTCTGTAAGCTAGACATAGAGAGCAGCATTGTACAGCAGTTCTGCATCCTGACTGTAGTTCACACAGTTTCTGTGAGTTCTGTAGCTTCTGAGTAGGCATAGGCACTATGCAGGATTCTGTAGCGTGAGTGTAGGAGAAACAGCTTGCAGGAGTTCTGTACCATGGATGTAGAGAGACGCAGTTTGCAGGAGTTCTGAAGGCTGAGGTTAGGAGACACAGATTATAGGAGTTCTATAGCCTGGGATTTGGCAAACGCAGCATGCAGTTTTGCTGTAGCTAGAGTGTAGGAGGCACAGCTTCCTGTAGTTCCATAAGCTGGATGTAGAGAGAGTAAGCTGTAAGCTTACCAACTCCTGTAAGCTGCGTCTCTGACACTCAGTCTACAGAAATCGCGCATTTTGCGTATGCCTTCTCCCCAGCCACAGAACTCCAGTGTACTGTGTCTTCTACACTGAAGCAGCAGAACTGCTGAGAACTGGCTCTCTCTACATCCAGCTTATGGAACTACAGGAAGCTGTACAGCACTCCTGCCTGAGTGCAGGAGACAGTTTACGGGAGTTCTGTGTCTTGGGAGAAGTTATACACAGTAGGTGTGATTTCTTTAGCTTGACTGTAGGAGACGCAGCTTCCTGTAGTTCCATAAACTGGATGTAGAGAGAGGCAGTTTACTGCAGTTCTGCAGCCTCATTGTAGGAGACAGTTTACCGGAGTTCTGTAGCATACGAGTTGCCATACGCAGTATGCAGGATTACTGTTGCCTGTGTGTAGGAGATGCAGCTTATAGTATTTCTGTAAACTAGACGTAGAGAGCGGCATTGTACAGCAGTTCTGCATCCTCACTGTAGTTCACACAGTTTCTGCGAGTTCTGTAGCTTCTGAGTAGGCATACGCATTATGCAGGATTTGTGTAGCATGATTGTAGGAGAAACTGCTTGAGGAGTTATGTACCTTGAATGCGGAGAGACACAGTTTGCAGGAGTTCTGCCGCCTGAGTGCAGGAGACAGTTTACTAGAGTTCTGTAGTATAGGAGTAGCCATACACAGTATGCAGGGATTACTGTTGCCTGTGTGTAGGAGATGCAGCTTATAGTATTTCTGTAAGCTAGACGTAGAGAGCAACATTGTACAGCAGTTCTGCATCCTGACTGTAGTCACACAGTTTCTGCGAGTTCTGTAGCTTCTGAGTAGGCATACGCATTATGCAGCATTTGTGTAGTATGATTGTAGGAGAAACTGCTTGAGGAGTTATGTACCTTGAATGCAGAGAGACACAGTTTGCAGGAGTTCCGTAGACTGAGTCCAGCAGACAGTACACAAGCAAAATGTGAAAAAAGCCAAAGAAATGGAAGAGTCCTTTTTGATATTCGTACTGATTTAGACACAAGGAAACAGGCTGTTTCCAGATTCATCCACCACTCCCAGCTGACTGGCTTTGGAAAACTAATTCAATGCACCTGAAAATCGCTGGCAAACTTGATTTGGGGGAATTAATTATTCTTCCCCTCTGCAAAAGGGTTTCATTGCTTTTTACAAGACACAAAAACTCATGTTGGTCGTGCTGCCTGTGGAATTCTAAGCATGACAGGCTAATTTATTGTGTTTTTTATTTCATAATGGATCCGCTGTCTAAACTCTTGTTTGTATTGCGTCAGAATACAAAATTTGGGAAGGAAGAAGGCAAAACCAACTCAGACCCAGAAATCATTTAGGAAATTGCCGCTCAAGAAACCAAAAGTCGGCTGAGGCACCCAAAACAATGACAGAAAGCCAGAATTGGAGCAAGCCAACAGCTGTGCCCTGATTGAAAAAGACCATTCCTTCCGTGTCTTGAACTCCATATTCCAGCCTCAAAATGAAAGCTCACATCAGAAAATTCATGACAAACCATGATAAATACGAACAATGTGAAAAAAGCCAAAGAAACGGAAGAGTCCTTTTTGATATTGGCTTGATTTAGTCACAAGGAAACAGGCTGTTTCCAGATTCATCCACCCCTCCCAGCTGACTGGCTTTGGAAAACTCATTCAATGCACCTGAAGATTGCTGGCAAACCTGATTTGGGGGAATTAATTTTCGTTCCCCTCTGCAAAAGGGTTCCATTTCTTTTTCCAAAACACAAAAACTCATGTTGGTCGTGCTGCCTCTCGAATTCTAAGCATGACAGGCTAATTTGTTGTGTTTTTTATTTCATAATGGATCCGCTGTCTAAACTCTGGTTTGTATTGCGTCAGAATACAAAATTTGGGAAGGAAGAAGGCAAAACCAACTCAGACCCAGAAATCATTTAGGAAATTGCCGCTCAAGAAACCAAAAGTCGGCTGAGGCACCCAAAACAATGACAGAAAGCCAGAATTGGAGCAAGCCAACAGCTGTGCCCTGATTGAAAAAGACCATTCCTTCCGTGTCTTGAACTCCATATTCCAGCCTCAAAAGGAAAGCTCACATCAGAAAATTCATGACAAACCATGATAAATACACAAAATGTGAAAAAAGCCAAAGAAACGGAAGAGTCCTTTTTGATATTGGCTTGATTTAGTCACAAGGAAACAGGCTGTTTCCAGATTCATCCACCCCTCCCAGCTGACTGGCTTTGGAAAACTAATTCAATGCACCTAAAAATCGCTGGCAAATTTGATTTGGGGGAATTAATTATCGTTCCCCTCTGCAAAAGGGTTCCATTTCTTTTTCCAAAACACAGACTCTCATGTGGGTCGTGCTGCCTCTAGAATTGTAAGCATGACACGCTAATTTGTTGTGTTTTTTATTTCACGATGGATCCGCTGTCTAACTCTTGTTTGTAATTGCGTCAGAATACAAAATTTGGGGAAGGGAGAAGGCAAAACCAACTCAGACCCAGAAATCATTTAGGAAATTGCCGCTCAAGAAACCAAAAGTCGGCTGAGGCACCCAAAACCAGGACAGAAAGCCAGATTGGAGCAAGGCCAACAGCTGTGCCCTGATTGAAAAAG